GTTTTACATCATTCGACGGTGGACCACACTTCATTGGTGGCAGCGGTGGGATCTCTAAAAGGGAAAAATTGTCGCAATTCATTTTGCGACAGTGCAATTTTGGAGATCGCTAAAGAACTTATGTGAACTACCGCCGTCTGGGTTCAACTGGTTTTGGTGTCAGAAAATCACAAGGAAAAAAAAAAAAAAAAAAAAAACGGTACGGAAAATCTATACAATAATTCGTTCAGTATTTGGAAGCACGGGTGTCCACCAGAGGTATATATAGCGCACATATTATATATAATATAGTTTAATATATTGTCATTTTGATATTAAACACACCGCCGCCAGCATTGTCGTAACGGCGTGTCATATTATACATCCGATCGATTGACGATTTGGTGTAATATATAAATATATACGTGGGCGTATTTTATATACATCTATATACTTTATATCAACGGACGAGCGCGTCGGCATCATCGTCCCGCGCCGCCGTCTAGGCAACCCGTTCACGTTGTTCATACGATTTATAAAATAGTGTTAATTCGTTCAATACGCGGCGCCATTATATTCGTGGTTGAGTGTCGTATATAATATTCTTAATATCATACGCGCCGCCGCCGGTACGTAGTAGCTGTGAAACAGCGCTCCGCACACACCGACAAAGACGACCTTTGTCGTCGTCGTCGCCATCGTCGCCGTCGTCGCCATCGTCGCCGTCGTCGCCGCCGCCGCCGCCGGGACAACCTGTTACTACGTCACAATACGAGACAGCGCTCCGAGCACATTTACGGGGAGATTTCGGTCGCCTTCGTCGTCGTTGCCGCCGCCGTGTTACACAGTGTCACCGTCAGGGAGGAGTCTTCGTTTCAGTACTCGCCGTCGCCGCACAAGTAGGGGCAAAGTCAACGTCGCCAGGCAGTGGGTCAACGTCGCCGAGCAGTGGGTCAGTGGAGCAATTCAATTATATTCACGCGGTAAACAATAATAATCGAGTATCAACACCATCATAATGCAACAGTATTTACTATACATCGTTTCGTAAGTTTTTATTTATAATTACTTGGGGCAATTAAATTATCTGGTACTTATTTCTTTAGTATAATAATTATTATTAGTATTCTTTTTCAAGTTATCTAGTATTGCTAGGATTGTCTTGCTAATTTTTCAAAAAGGGAGTTAATCCTAATTTAGTGGGATTTATTAATGTATTGGAATATTCTATTCTTGGGATTTTCTTTAAAAAAAAAAAAAAATAATAATTAGCTTCTGTTTATTTAATTTATCTATCTAATAATCGGGCCTTTTAGCTAGTGCATGTCGAACTCAGGGTCAAATGATGGCATTGGTGAAGATTTAATAGATTTGGACAGCTTTAGTAGTGGGTCGTCTAGTGGAGAATTGTATGTACCAATTAGTGGTGTCCTACGAAGGGCAGGGGATACAATAGACCGAACGGACGAACTGTTAGGGTCAACTAGGTATTTACTAAGAAGTCAAAGGACCAAGCCACACACAGAACCTCAACCAATCCAACATTCAGAGCATACAGAAAATCAACAAAATTCAGAGCCTCCAGAGCATCAACAAAACACAGAGAATCCAGAAAATCAACAACTTTCAGAACTTTCAGAAAATCAACAATACTCAGAACCTCCAGAGCAACGTGGCATTTCAAGAAATCCGAATAGTTCCAGAGATTCTGAAAATCTAAGGCAGAAAGTCAGCTCAAGTCCTCTGGGCTCGAGACTAAATTTACAGGACTCAACAATAACACAAGTTTACGGGAAAATGGACGGTACTCAAGCATCAGTATCAACGGATGATTCAAGCCAAGTGGGCTCAGGACCAAATGTCAATAGATCCTCTACGAGCGTAGAACAAGCACTCAGGTTACTACCAGTTTTCGATGGGACAAGTTCAGAAGAAGTACATCGATTTCTTAGGGCATGTGATTTTGCAGTCAGAATCATTGACCCAGGACAAATCAGCTTATTGGTGCAAGGGATGACTGTTAAATTGTCCGGGAGAGCGTTACGGGCAATCAGGTATAAAGAAATCGAGACTTATCGGGATTTCCGGAAAGCGATCGTCGAAATGTCAGACAAGAAGAAATTGCTACCACAATTACAGATGAAGATGCTCACATGCAAAATGAGTTCAGGTGAAGGGGTACAAGATTATCATGATAAGATGGAGCAACTCATGCACGATTTAATCGATGCAGCCATGGAAAGTGGAGACTACATAAATGGGGAGGATATTGATAAGCTATTGCGCAATCAGATACTCAACGCGTTTATAAGTGGGATGCCAGAATCGTATCGAATTCTCCTTAAAGCTAGAGGTCCCAAGAACCTCAGGGAAGCTTTGGCATATGCACTAGAGGAGGAAACGGAAGAAAACCTTGCCAAAGAAACCCAGCAACTATTCAGTAATAAAAAAAACTCGAAGGATCAACAGTCTCAGCCCTCAAAAGCAAATCATACCGTGTTCAAGCAGAAGGACAGTGGCAAAAGCAGCAACATTAGTAAGGGATGTTTTAAGTGTGGGCGAACTAACCATTTTGCCAGGGAATGCAGAGCGTCGTCATGGGATCAATAGAGATTCAAATCCAGTCAGCAGAATGGGCAGCAAAATAACTCGAAAACTCCCACAAAAGCAGTATTAGTTTGCAGATATTGTAAAAAGGAAGGACATGAATTAGAAGTATGCCGAAAAAGACAATATGTAAATAGTAAAAGGCAACAGGGTGGAAAAGAAGCTTCAACAGAACAACAAAATGCGGGAAACGGAGGGGAACCGAATCCGAGCAGCGCACGATCGGTTCAGCAAATCCAGAGCGCTGTATTGAGTCTGCAGCGACCTTCCACTTCTCAGCAAGACTTGTAAATAATTCCACGTGTCTCAAAATTAAACAGTGTATTCAAGAAAATGTAAGATTGATAGTCGATACCGGGAGTGATGTAAATATTATCAAACTATCAGAACTAAGGAAGGATTTATTGGTGGATGAGAACATAATATATGAGCTAAAGGGTATTAATTCTCAACCAGTGTACACCATAGGATCAGTCGCTTTAAGGGTCCAACTTGGTACGAAGGAAGCAACTGTGAAGTTTCAGGTGGTCCATGACAATTTTCCGATAGTGGAAGCAGGAATCTTGGGCGCACCGTTCTTCAGAGAAAATGGTATTAATATCAACTTCAGAACCTCTACTCTGTCAACAGAACACACAGAAAATCCAGAGTCTCCAGAATCTCCAGATTTGCCAAAAACCCTAGTCATCCAACCACGATCGGAAACGCTGGTGCCCATCATGACAGACAAGGCAGATGACATAACTCTAATATTTCATGCACAGACCATCGGGGAGGAGAGAGTATTACTATTAGGGAATGTCGTTAACTCCGTTCGCGATGGTCAGATATTGGTTCCCGTGGTGAATCCCTCAGGGAATTCCATCGAATTCCTCCCACCTCAGCTAGCAAAAGTGCAATATGACCTCTTTGAAGGGGCAAGAGTACACCTCTGTTCTGAATCAGCGGGGCAGTCAAATAAGGAAAATCGGATGAAGAAGCTCGCACAGGTTATCCAAACAGATCATCTTAACCATGAGGAGCGGGCCAGTCTATGGGGAGTATGCAAGAAATATCAGGACTTATTCCACCTCGAAGGAGATGCTCTCCCATTCACTACAGCAATCCAACATGACATCAAGACGCAAGCGGGAGCAGCTCCAGTGAATATCAGACCGTATAGACTTCCATACGCCCATAGAAAAGTTATAGTAGAGCAGATGGAAAAATTGGAAGAAGACGGAATCATCCAGCCTTCAGAATCTCCATGGAACGCACCTTTAGTGGTAGTCCCAAAGAAACCCGATGCTAGTGGAAATCCACAATTCAGAGTTTGCGTAGACTTTCGTCGGCTCAACCAGCTAACCATCGGAGATGCGTTTCCAATTCCTCGAATTGACGAGATCTTAGATCAGCTAGGACGCTCCAGATATTACACTACGTTGGACCTCGCCAGCGGGTACCATCAAGTCCCGATTCGTCCGCAGGATCGTGAGAAGACCGGATTTTCCACAGACAAGGGCCACTTCGAGTTCATCCGAATGCCCTTTGGATTAAGCGGAGCACCTAGTACGTTCCAACGTCTGATGAACGCTGCATTAACAGGCCTCAACGGCATCAAAGCGTTTGTGTACCTAGACGACATAATCATCTATGCAGCGGATCTTACAGAACATGAGAGCAGATTGGAAGAAGTATTTCAGCGACTTCGGAAATTCAGCCTCCAACTCCAGCCAAGCAAATGTCAATTCCTCAGACGTGAAGTAGTTTACCTTGGGCATCTGATAACGGACACTGGTGTAAAACCAGATCCGGCGAAAATCAGTTGTGTTCGAGATCATCCGGTACCAAGGAACCCAACTGAGATAAAGCAATTTCTCGGACTCTCTGGGTATTATAGAAGGTTCATAGAAAAATACAGCCAGATAGCCAAGCCGTTAACAACATTATTAAAGAAGGGACAACCTTTTGAGTGGACTGCAGAATGCCAGGCAGCATTTGAGACGCTCATCCAGAAGCTCATTCAAGCTCCAATACTTCAGTACCCCAACTTCGAGGAACCATTTATTTTGACAACCGATGCGAGTCAGTATGCAATTGGGAGTGTCATTTCTCAAGGCCAGGAAATAGGGCAAGATCTACCTATTGCATATGCATCACGTACGCTAAACAAGGCGGAGCAAAACTACAGTACCACGGAAAAGGAACTGCTAAGCATTGTATGGTCAGTCAAGCACTTTAGACCATACCTACTGGGCAGACAGTTTAAGATTTACACAGACCATCAGCCACTTACGTGGCTATTTAATGTTAAGGATCCTGGATCCAGGCTCATGCGGTGGAGAATCAAATTGTCAGAATATCAGTACGAAGTGGTCTATAAACCCGGTGCCGCAAACACAAATGCAGATGCACTCAGCCGTATGGGGCGAATCATGATGAACAGAACATTGAACCCAGTTACCCGAGTTAGTTATGATACCTACTTGCAACTAATAAAAGGCAAGTCAATAGTCAATAATAGGGTAAAAGAGGAATCGGGAGATTTATTCGACGCACCATCAGACTACAGCCTCGCACATTGCATATCCCAGGACGTGAAAATGAGCCAGGGCACGGCCCTCATGTTTCGCAGGAAATTTGGCAATGTGGAGATTTTAAAAAGTCAACACCCCAGAGTCCATGAAGTGTTGTACATTCGTCAAGAAAATCGATACATCCTGTATATGGTAACGAAACCAAAATATTGGCAAAAACCATCTTTGGAGGATATGTTCCTGACTTTACAGAGCCTCAAATCGGTATGCATCGAGCTCGATATTGACAAACTAGCGATGCCCCGTATTGGCAGTGGGATAGACCAACTTGATTGGTCTGCCATCCGGACCATGATTCGGTTTGTATTTAAGGAGATAGATATCAAAATCCATGTTTATTCTCTAACAGAGTTAACACACGCGGAAAAACTAGAGATCATCGCAGAGCATCATTCCAGTCTACTAGGAGGACACCGCGGTATAAACCAAACCGTAAAGCGCATTCAAACACAATTTAACTGGGAAGGATTGGAAGATAATGTGAAGGAATATGTGTCCAAATGTCCATCGTGCCAGATAAACAAAACGTGTAACAAGAACGTCAGGCAACCAATGGTCATAAGTACCACGGCCACCGAACCTTTCGAGAAGGTATTTATCGACGTGGTCGGGCCCTTACCGAGAACACATAGCAATAATGCCTACATCTTAACAATGCAGTGTGACCTCACGAAATTCTCCATGGCTAGTCCAATGGAAAATCATGAAGCCAACACTGTGGCGTATCATTTCGTAACCTCTTGTGTATGTCTCCATGGAATACCAAACATGCTGGTTAGTGATCAAGGCAAAGAGTTTTTAAGCAAGATCTTAGCCGAGACATGCAAACTGCTGAAAATAAAAAAATGCAATACATCCCCTTACCATCCGCAAGCTAATGGAGCTCTTGAAAGAAGCCATAGAACTTTAGGGGAATATCTGCGACATTTCGTTGACAAAGATCAAACAAATTGGGATACGTTCATTCCATATGCCATGTTCGTATTCAATTCCTCAGAACATCGTTCCACAGGGAAACAACCCTATGAACTATTGTATGGTCGCACTGTGACAATGCCAAACTCGTTCACAAAACCCCCAGAACCTCGATACAATTATGAAGATTTCCATGTAGAATTGAAGCAGAAACTCCAAGTGGCACATCAAATAGCCCGCGATCGTCTGTTGGAACACAAACAGAAGACAAAAGAGACTTACGATCAGAATCAGAATCAGATCATCATTCACGTGGGAGATCGTGTACTCCTTAAAGACAACGCTCGAAAAGGGAAACTTAGTCCTAAATGGTTGGGACCTTATGAGGTGATCGAGCTTAAAGCAAATGAAAATGTAACATTGCAAAAGGATAGAAGGAGGGTGACAGTACATAAAATCTTATCCATCCTTTTGTGGACTGATCATTGTAAATACGTGATAAAAATTAACATTAAGTTAACAATGCTAAAACTAACCTAGATGTAAGAAATGTGGTGCTGTACATAAATCTTTGAGGGGAAGAGAAATTTTATATTAACAATAACGAATATCGTTGCAGAGCTTATTCGAATCTCGGAAATAGCAATTTTCCATAGAGACGATCATTTAGTATTTGCCATAGGTATTCCTCTGATAAGTAACGAAGGATATACCATGTATCGCCCCGTTTCTCTGCCCATTCCGTACGACAAAAATACAGTAATTTTAATTGACCCTGAAGTCGACTACCTTGCTTTAAGTAATAATAATGAACATTTTTTTGTATTAGAATTAAGTCAATGGGAACTATGTATTAGGCTAGAATTATACACTCTTTGTAAGGGTGATCAACCAATACACCGCCAAACGGGATCTAGCTTGTGTGAAATTTCACGGTTGTCTAACTCGCAAAATACATTAGGAAATTGTAAAATTAAATTTGTAACATTAGACACACCCATTTGGAATCGATTGTCAAAAACCAATTCTTGGTTGTACTATGCACAACCACACACGTGTACGATTACCTGTTTAGAACATCTACAAAGCTATACCGTGGAGATCTCGGGCGTGGGTAGGTTGACCACCTCATTGTCATGTGAAATTTTTACGGAAAATTCTGTACTCGAACCGTTAAATAAAAATGTTAGAAATGTACAAGCAGACGTAATCCCAGAAAATCCAAAGGTCAGTGTAATCTCTCTGTTAGCAGAGATTCTACCATCTGTATTACCCCAAAATGTTTCAAACTTAAACCCAATAAAAAATCTAAACTCTTAAGCACATAAAGCAATCGAAATAAATAACCTCCAACGTAAGTCATTGGAGCCTCTATTTATATTCAAAGTCGAATTTCACTTTACAGTTATGTACATATCCATATTACTCATAACTCTAACCATAAGTATAGTCGTTGTTAAGTTTAAGAACCAGGTCATAAAAATGTATAGTCCAGAGGTAGCGGACAATATTCCAAACAATGAACAAGTTAACCCTTAAGTTTGTATAAAAAAAATTTGTATTGCCCTAAGTGTAGAATAAATTAAGTTTAAGCATTATAGACACCATGTGGCGGTATTGTAACTAGGTGTACCCGTAGTGTAAGAAATTTATGGAGTAGTAAATAAGGTCGCAGGGACTGCTCCAGTTTAACGCTGGGGGTATGTTGTAAACGGGTAACATGATAAGTATGAATGGGTTGACTCAGTCTAGTGGCGAGTAGTGCGTGTATGAGAACTGTCTGGTTCTCACGGACGCCTACGCGACGCCTACGAGACGCTGAGCGAACACATTCCGAAAGGCTCGGGACAGACCATGGGGACAGCCCCGCCAGCTAGAGTCAGTCGAGTCTGGTCAAAAGAGTGAGTAACACACGTGTTACTAAGCAGAGCATCCTTTATAGTTTATTACAGAGCCTCATATAATTTTTATCAGAACCTCTCATAATAATAGTTTTTTTATTATATATATCAGTTCTTCAATATTTAATTTATTAAATCAGTAATAGTGTTATCATTATATACATTAATTCTTTAGTGTTCAATACAATAAATCGGTAATCTTATTTATAAGCAAACTGTGTGTTATTTTATTTTATGCCAACACCTACGGTTTTACATCATTCGACGGTGGACCACACTTCAGAATATAGATATTTTATCTTTACTAATTTACGACATATACCACTTTCGTTTTTAAAATTTGATTTAGGTACACTACACATAAATAAGTAATTGCTTAATATGATTAAAAATGCAATAAAATTGCTATAATAAACAAAATGTGAATATATTTTCAAAATTCGAAGGGTTGGTCGGAATTTTGGTCTGGCGGCGAAACGGTGGCGGCGAATCGGTGGCGGCGAAACGGTAGCGGCGAAATGTCCGGCGGCGAAACGGTGGTGGCGAAATGTCCGGCGGCGAAACGTCCGGCGGCGAATCGGTCGGCGGCGAAACGTCCGGCGGCGAATCGGTGGCGGCGAAATGTCCGGCGGCGAAATGTCCGGGTCCGAAGAACAGGCTGTGCGTGGATTACCGGTGACTTAACAAACAGACTGTTCGTCAGCACTATCCGCTGCCGGATATGTCAGAACAGCTTGATGCGTTGGCCGCGGGAAATTGTTCTTTCAGTTGGATTTGGCGAGTGTATACCTACAAATTCCACTAACGCCGGAAGCTGCGGAAAAGACTGCATTTATCACCACTGATATGACGGGCCAGTTCACTCGCATACCGTTCCGTCTGACGAGTGCTGTCACCGAGTTTACAAGGCTGATGCAGCATTTGTTAGGGCCAATTCAAGGGAAGATAGTGCATAATTACCTTGATGATATGGTCATCAACGGTGCAGATTGGGCTGATCTGTTAACCAAGCTGAAGTCTGTATGGGACGACTCAAGGCTGCGAAATTGAAGTTAAAGCCGTCGAAATGTCTTAAGAATTTAAATGCTTTACAAGTTAAAAGTGGTGCAACTGCTACTAAAGGTAAAGTCGTTTTGAACAAAATAGTCTGGAATGTCCCACATATCACTGTTGACGATGTAGAAAGGTTAAAATTATTGAAACTTATAGAAAAAGAACAAAGTCTATTTATCATTTTTAGATCTTTTGAAACTTTTGAATATCCTGAATTCGGAACCACTAAAAAAGTTGTATGGAATTTTAAACCTGCTTCAAAATTAGAAAAACCACGATTTATCATAATTGGATTACAAAAAGGACGTAAATATTTGTTAACGAAAGATTATATTATATTTGACCATTGTAATTTAACAAACGTTAAAGTATTTCTGAACTCGATAGCTTATCCATACGATAATTTGAATTAAGATTTAATTAAAAAAATTTCACCTTATTATATAATATGTATACAAAGAATTGTACTATGAAAAAAGTATTCGTAACCCGAAGTAGTATAAATTGGGGGATTCAGACACCGCAACCCATGACCCCATGACCATTGTCCCATGACCCCATTATCCTTGCATTATCCCCTCATCACTCATCACACCACCCGCATCCTCATCCACCACCGCTGCTGAGCGTTACTTATATTATTGTTATCACACGTTATCCCATGTTATCGTATTTTATCACATGTTACGCCCGAAAATAACCTTAAAATTTTTTTCCGCACCGGGATTCGAACCAGAGTCCGTCAGTTTGGCAAGCCATCACCGTACCACTGCGCCACCCCGTCACATATACTTTATATTAATAACTTGCCCTATTTAACAGGTACGTTAAATACATAAAACTGCAAAAGAAATATTTAATAATAGCTTGCAGCTGCGCGTATTGTCATTAGTAAATAGACATCCGTTCTCACGCTCGCCGAACAATCAATAAATGACCATTATACCTAGAGTATATCGAATAGAAGATACCAATTTATGAAAAATACATTAACCCTAATAGCCTAATTATTGTCATAGCCAGGATGTCTTAATAGCCACCTTTCATACACTAATAATACAAGTATCTGCCACAAGAAGCATTAGCTATCAATTCAGCCTGTATAATAATAGTCAGTCTTCAGACTGTCGCCAGGATGCGATTTACTTAACGATATTAAAATGTCAATCAGTCAGTAATGACCGATATAACATTAGACTATTCAATATTTGTTCACACACAAGGAAACATTATAAAATAATCAATAAATGACTATTATACCCAAAGTATATCGAATAGAAGATAAAAATTAATGAAAAATACATTAACCCTAATAGCCTAATTATTGTCATCGCCAGGATGTCTTAATAGCCACCTCTCACGTTTGCACCCATCTTAACATTAGACCACAATGGTGCTTCCGTCGTATATTTCCTGCCATTAGATATTATTCGTATTCAATATTTGTACACACACACACAAGGAAACATTATAAAATAATCAATAAATGACCATTATACCTATAGTATATCGAATAGAAGAAGCATTAGCTATCAATTCAGCCTGTATAATAATAGTCAGTCTTCAGACTGTCGCCAGGATGTGGTTTACTTAACGATATTAAAATGTCAATCAGTCAGTAATGACCGATATAACATTAGACTATTCAATATTTGTTCACACACAAGGAAACATTATAAAATAATCAATAAAGGACCATTATACCTATAGTATATCGAATAGAAGATACCAATTAATGAAAAATACATTAACCCTAATAGCCTACTTATTGTCATAGCCAGGATGTCTTAATAGCCACCTCTCATACACTAATAATACAAGTATCTGCCACAAGAAGCATTAGCGTACCTCTGCGTTTATATATTACACCGAGTATAGCTGAAACGGTTTAGTCTACCCGACACATTCATCGTTTTCGTTCCCTCGCGCCGACTTTATAGAATTTACAGTGTTTTAATATTTTTACAAGTATTTTTCTTTTCGTTTTCATTTTTCTATCATCATTACCTTAAACATTTTAAAAATGTTTCAATGCGAACAGTGCCCTTCGGTTTTCACCATGAAACACAATTTGGTCGCCCACCAAAAAAAACATATGGGTGTACGTTTTTCGTGCATTGTTTGTCCTTCAACATTCACATACAAGTCACATCTTAAAAGACATATGAAGAATATTCATGGTATGTATTTACGGTTTATATAATATTATTTATTTCTATCGTATACAATATTAATTTATATTATATTAATTTATATTAAGGTATCGTCAACGTTCCGGCTCATTTGAGACCAGCTGCGCCGATCACCGCTCAACCAGCACGTCCAAGCGTCATACAGTTCGCACCTCTTGCCGCTCCACAGGGAGATATTCAAATCGCGCCGCAGATATTTGTCCCCGATGTTCCTGCTGGTGGCTCGAACATGTTAACCGAAGACGAGATTTGCGTGGCAGCTATGGACGAATTCGAGGATACAGGTTAGTTTTGAAACCCGAATTAATTAGATTATTAAAATAATTTACCCGCCGTGGATTAATTACACAAAGATATCTTTATATTATAAACTAAGGTTGATTAGATTCGATAC